ATGCATGGCCGTGCTCAGATGGATTTTAGAAATCATCTGCTTATTTACAGTCAAACTCGGATTTCGAGAAACACATCTGGACGTAACAGAGATGACGAGTAATCTTACTCTGTAGTTCATGAAGAGACATGAAGAGACATAGGAAAGGGGCTATACACTAAATGCACACTTGTCCGGAAGGACAAGTGGGAGATTGAAAGGAATGGTGTCCTTCGAACAAGTGTATTATTCTGATAGCGGGTTCAGAATTATTAGAAAGCTAATATATTCAGTAAGGTCAAGTGATCGGAATGCCTGGGTAGAGGCCGCTTTCGATCAGTAATATTAATATAATTAATATTACAGCTTAATCTTGACCGGACCCTTCGGGTCACACCTAAGCAAAATATACGATCCGACTCGACGAATTAATTCGGAAGAAATTAATTCGTCGCCCGAGTGTTAAATATTTAGACGTCGGTAATTCGAGCTTGGAGCGTCGAAACCGATCGTCAGAAGTCGAGTCAAAAATAATAAAAAGACGAGACGCGCAAAATAATAATAAATCGACCATATTCCCAAAATACCCCTAGCATCGGAATGCCCCGAGCATCCGAATGCTAGGGGCAAAAATGTCCAAGCATAGGTGGTTAGCAAGCGCACCAAGCCGAGCCTAGCATCACTGGCTAGGTGCGTGCTAGCGCACCGTGCTAGCAACCACGCAAAGCAGCAGCTAGCAGCCGCGTGCACGTGGTGCGTGCAGCAGCTAGCTGCCGCAAGCTAGGCGTGCTAGCAGCGCACGCACTAGCAGCCACGCACAGCAGCAAGCCCGCACCAAGTGCGTGGCTTGCGCGCACAGCAGCAACCCGCATCTTGGTGCGGGGCTGGGCTCGTGGCTGGGCCATAGGGCTGGTCACTATGGGGAAGCTTGAGGAATATGGGAGCAAGTGGGTAAGGACATGTGGCACAAGGAGAGTATTGAGTGGGGAGCAAGTATGGTCCCCTACTCTCCATGTGGTCCTCACCAACCCATTTCACATGGTAATGCCACTTGTAGATTTATTATTAGCTTGCCATTTTAATTTAATTTAGCTTTAAATTAATTTGTGGAATTTCATGATCCCACATTGATGGGATAGAAATTCCCACTCATACTTTCCTCTATAAATACCAACCTTGGGATTTGGAGTAAAGTGCTTGAGTGGGAGTTAGAAAGAGAATTCCATATTTTGGGAAAAACTCTTAAACTCCATTAACACTTGGGTTTTGGTCGGACCTTGCTAACTCCAAGGTAGCGGACCTAAAAAGTAGTGTTCGTCCTTTGTGGGTGGATACCGTTGGAGGCACGGCATTTGCGGCGCTCAAGGCTTTCAAGTAAGAGCCCGTTTTGAGAGGGCGAAGCTCGCTTCAAGGGTATGATTCGTTTCTCCTTTTCTTGTGTTTATTTATTTATGCTTTATGGTTTTATTAATTACGAGTGGTTCCTTGGGTCGGGGTTGTTTCCGCGGTGAGTCGGACTCACCAAACCCCAACAAAATTAAATCGAAATTTAATACGATCTGAAATTCAATTTGCCTTGCATGTAAATTATAAATCCAAATTCATAATACAAATTCACTATTACATTTAACAAATATTATTTGAAATTAAAAACAATATGAAATTATGAATTGTATTGTACCTTTTTCAGCAGTAATTGTGCTAGAAATTGATTCTATGGGTGAATCAGATTTTACTTCAGTCATCATTGTGTTGTTTGATTTCTCCATTTTTTTGATTTGAATTGTTTGAAATTTGAAGATTTGAATGCTCTGAAATTTGAGGAAATGAAGTCGTTGAATTTCGTCGAAATGAAGGAGTTCGAAATTTTGAGAAAATGACGGCGCTCAAAATTTTAGGAAAATGATTAAAACGAAAAAATTCAGACATTTTATTAAATGGTGCGCGGGCTTTGGTCGGGTTTATCAGGCCCGCACCTTTTTCATTTATAGCCCAGTCTCACGTGAGTCTAGTCTCACACAAAACGCTTTTATATTTTTAAAGTTTGATGGGTACCAAAATAAAATAAAGTTTTAAGCGGGTACTAATATTCAACAACCCCCATTTTTAAGGTACCAAATTCCAAATTTTCCTAAAATTAAAGTTATTTTATGGTTTCAATTGTACTCTATGAAGTATAATTTCTCTACATGTGTAATAGTAAAAGAACGGATGATGCACCAATAATAAGTGCAATAAAAATACTCATCATCAATTTACTACGCTAGTGAGAAAGATTGTATCTTTCAACCTTGAGTTTAAGGGTCCATTTTTCACTAGGGACACTTTGAGGGTGGAGACCCCTTCCCTTGTCACTTCCCCTATTTTAAAGTGTCTAACTCGCAAATACTTGACCACAAAATCGTGAGGTTTGACGTTTGGTTAGGAATATGCAAAATCCCCACCTTTAAAAAAAAAAATTACTACTCTAGAACCATGTAATTTCACTAAAACTAAGTTTTTGTTGATTGAAAGAGGGTTATAATGATGTTAAAATGGAAGTTTGATAAATTGGAGAAAGAAATGAATTTGAAATTCATATTATTATTATTATTATTATTATTATTATTATTATTATTATTATTATTATTATTAACTCAAAAACAAAAGTCATACAACCTACAATAAATTAGTGAGAAGCCGAGATACAATTTAGGCCCCCACTCCTCTAGCTATTGCAAATCCTACCCTAGTGAAGATATGAGCTGCAGCACGAGCCCCAATGTCTTGCGTCGTCGAGAACCTCTGAATCCGCTTCAGTAACGCAACAGCCTCTTTCTCTAATTCCCCAAGCGAAGAAAAGGAGAAGGGAATGAAACCATATCCAATCGCCTGACATCGAGCTTCATACTTAACCCGCTTCCGATGAGCTGCATCAGTCACAACCCGCCCAGGAATGAAGTCAGATAGCCTGACTGTGTCAAAGGAGAAGACCCTGTCAAATCAACACAGACATCGCGACCACGATCCCATGAATAAAGTAACACATCCACGGGTCTGAGGGCCTCGTCGTTCCCTCCGGCCAACCCAATGTCAACCTCTTTTCTCGCTGAAATCCCAGAACGATAGCAAACATCAACAAGGGTATCCCGAACAACATTATGCCGATGTTTAATACCCACAATACCAGCACAAGACACCGCGTGATCACCAAAAATATCTCCAGAAAAAATCCTCGAACAAGCAGAGCACACCGTCGAGATAGAGAACAATAGAACACCCAACCGATAAGACAACACACAGCGATAAGTCTTGGCATTCATCGTCTGGCCCAACCCTGAAATAGGAACCGCCCGAAGCCAAGCAGAGGTGTGATCACCCTGCTGTGATTTCCATAATGCTGATTGTCGAGGAGTTAAAGAATAAACAGTTTCTACAGAAGCGGTAACCTTTGTGAAATATATATCTGCCAATTTCTTCATGAGTTTAGGGGCAGCAACCATATTATTATTATTATTATTATTATTATTATTATTATTATTATTATTTGGTTCAATTTCATTATATAGTTCGATAGGATGATTTAAAAAATGTGACTATTAAAAAACTTTTAACAATTTTGCGTTGGAATTATTTTTATGAAAATACAATTCACACACACTCAGATTTATGTTTGGGACAATTTTTTTAAGACAAACCACTATCTTACATTAAAAAAAATTTAAAAAAAAAAAAAAAAAAAAAAAAAAAAAAAAAAAAAAAACTCTACGTAGCGGTTTATCTTTAGTACTTCAAATTGCCGCTCAATTCAATTCAGTTAGAAAAAAATACCCTTAAGATAGCAATTTAAGGGTAAAACTGCTATCTCAAGTACCTATTTATGTACTAAAACCGCTACTTAAGGTAGCAATTTGTGTACTTAAGGTAGCAATTTGTCTCATAAACCACCACCTTAAGTAGCGGTTTTAGTACAATGGTTTTACCATGAACATGATACTCCAAGAGTACCTAATAGTAATTGGTCAAATCTCGTTTATCAAAATTACTAATTTGTCTTGACAACATCAATCAATTTTGAAGTGATTTCCATGAAAATTGCTAAAAGAAATCAAAATTCCACATTTACGCTACTTGTTTTTATAGAGTAAAACCGCAATGATTATTCGCATCATTTTATGTTTTTTGTTTTATTTTTTTTCTTTTTTGTAAGGATCTTGCTAACGAACGCCCCCGGGGTGTTGGATAAGCATTTAAAATATCACCTAAAGTGGTAATAATTTGAGAAAGCATAACCAAATCACGCGTCGATCGGTGTAATTAATGTCAATTTTTTACTTTGATTTTTATACTTTTAGCTAGCTTATCCAACGCCCCGGGAGCATTCGTTAGCATTTGCCTTTTTGTAATACTAAAAACCAAAAAAGGAAACAAGAAATTAGTTTTCAATACTATTATAATTTTAATAAATTTGACTAATTTTTTATTTATTATATGATATATATTATATGTTTTTTTTTACAAGACATATCATATGATTTTTAAAAACAAAAAAAAAAAAAACAGAAAATATAGCAATGCCAAACAAACCAAATTAGCAGCTTTGACATGGAAATTATGTAGGGAATTTTGAAAAAAAAAAAAAAAAGAAAAGAAAAAAAAAAGTGGCATAATTGTAAAATATTGATATCTTTTAGCAATTTTCATGGAAATTGCTCACAATTTTGGGTGCATTCATGCGCAAAACATATCTCCACACCATCACATGTTTGAATAGCAATACTCTTGTCTCAAATATATCAGTGTCATTATCCACCTGATATATACTTGTGGAGTTGTGGTTACTGGTAAGTACGAAATACCAAACAACGGCAGTATAAGCTAATATTTGTTGATTTCACGCTAACTTGTACTTTAGCACACAAGTAATTCCTGTCAAGCCATAGGGATGATATGATTTATAGTAAGGAAGAAGATAGCTAAGTTTATTTTTCACTATTTGAATGAACACATAGATAATGAAAAAATATTTTAAAGCAAGAGGGTCGACGAAAAAGAAACTATGACCATCATGTAATTTAACACAAAGCCAAGAAAAGACTGTTTTTCTATAGGATCACTTGTCTACAAAAATACAAAGGCCTTAAGCCCTCCAACAAATAAACTTAAATCTTAAACAAGAAGCTGCACCCTCGAAATCCACCTTTACCAGCACGTCATTGATTGAGCTATCAAGTAAAAGAGGTAAAGATCAGCCAATTAGAGGATCAAGATCAAGCAAATGAGATCGACTAAAGACCTGAAAACTCAAAGAGTATCATCTTCTATCTTCCTGTTGTTCAAACTAGTTTTTGTACTCCAAAGCTCCAGTTGCGTATGACGGAGTTGGGTCTACCTTTCTAGTTTTACTACACTCATCAAGGTATTGATCATAGGCGTATGAAATAAACCCCCAAATGGCCAATAACATGGCCACCACCTTTATTCCATCCATTATGTCGCTAAAAAAGATCACTGCTAGCACTGGAACAATCGGCAATCCTAAAGTAGAGACGACATTGGAGAACAGCGATGACACCCTCACGATCAATCCAAATAAGCCAATATTGTAAACTTGCCAACTCAATGCTGTGCAAATTAAGGTCATCACGTATGACAATTTTCCAAACCTAAATTGATCCATCTCTAATTTCACAGATTTCAGGTCCCCAGTAGCTAAAATTCCGACCACTGCAATACAACTTGCAATGAATGACTGACGAAGAAGCAAATCCAAAGTCGCTTCAAAACTATCATTCTTGAATACTTTTTGGAAGGTAAACTCTGTTAAAGAAAGTAACAATCCATACGCCATTGGATAAGCAATAGCACAAATGAAGCCAAAGACATAATTAGCCTTGGAAACTCCTTCAGGAACCGAAGAACCAGACTGAATTACCAGTAAGACAGATGAGATGGTAAGCAGGACAAGAGAGTTAATTATGTAAGGTGTGAACTTCTGAGAATTTATGAAGAAAGAAAATAATGCATTGAAGGCCAACTGGGATGCACATAAGAGCGAGAAAGTAGAGACAGGTACATATTGCAGTCCTATTGCGTACATCATACCAACTGCTGCTACAAATAGCCCAAAGAATAGGTATATTGATGCAGTCTTGAGAGGAGAAAGCTCATTAATTGGTTTGTGACTCTGGATTGATTTCTTGGGAAAGATGCGGTACAAGGGTAATAGCAATGGAAAGCCAGCATACTGCACCAGTGTTGCCATCCATTGGCTTTTCCCACCTTCATTATAATAAAATCTTCCAAGTATCATACCTGCTGACTGCCCAAGAAGGACGCAAACTATATAGAACACAATAACAATCCACCACTTTAACCCTGGCTGTTGTGATGAACTTGATGAGCTGGTGGTATCTTCAGACCGAGGCACTATTCCTGGTTTGTTGTTGCTGACTGTACCAGACACATAATGTTTCAGCCTTCCAGAAACATGCACTATTGGGGGGAAGGGATTGATACTGAAAGATTTTGTGCAGGTTGGTTTGACAACCATTCTATTTAAATACTTCAATAAAGTAGCTACTGTTGGTCACCAAATCAGTGGTGCCGCTGATGGTGTTGACTACTGCATACTAGGATTAGCAACTTAGCTCTGCTCCACTACACCCTCCCTTCATAATAATAGGCATCACATGAACTCTTTCTTTTTAGTTCATTTTCCTTCTTAATGTGCTTTTAGTGCTAAGCCTTCAAATTCCTATTTTCAAAAATTTATTGGTTTATTTGATATTTTGATGTGAGAGAAAGAATTTTGATTCTTCAAATCTAAAAGTACTGATTTCACATATGAAATACCAATATTGGACAACATTATGATGGTATGAACTGAATCGTATCATAAATATTAACAATTAGGAGGCTTTTCTGCAAGTAAAAAGTCGAATTCTGGAGAATAATCATGAATCAACATACCGTAAACATCATTCTGGGGTATAATCAAGCTTGAAACACCATCATTAGAAGGATTCTCAAATTCCAGATCTGCTTCACCACTTGTTTGCTGGTTTGCAAATATTCGGGGCACTAGTGGAGAGATTTTATTTACCTGTAGTCTTTCATTTAAGATTTGCAACAAATCAAAAGTATAAGTGTGGAGACAAGCAAAAAAAATAGAGAGAAAAGAAAAGCAGAAGAAGCAGCAGAACTAAACTAGTAAAATAAAAATAAAAAAAATAAAAAAAAATACAAATCTAGACAATTTTTCAACAAAGCAGAAATTTTCCGAGGCCAAAAAATACTAAGACAACATAAGTGAAGATTACAGTTTAAAACAGAAGCATAATGCACAGAATTGTGGTTATAAACTTTATTCAACTGGGCACCCATATTCTCAAGTTAAACATGTTATAGATTATAATACTTTTCTTCTCTATGACAATCTCCTTTCTATCACATCCTTAGACATGCCATTTATAAGGAAGATGATATCCATATTTGAACAAATTGAGTATAAGAAGGTATTCATTTGTGGAATGGAGCATATATGCCATTAAGATATTCAAAGATGCTTTTCTTCAGCTAACTCCTACATTTTAGAATAAGAAAAAAGTCCACAAGGTGATACGGGAGTGTGATAACTATCCTAAGTAGGGGTAATATGGGTAGTCTAGCAATATGAGGTTAATAGTCTTTAGCCTTGGTAAAAAAAAAGAGGGGGAGAAAGAAAAAGTTAGGCAGAAATTTGTATTGAAGGGAAGGAAACCTTTGAGAGTAAAGCCATCTTGAGAGAGTGATAGCCTCAAGCTATTGTGAGAGTAATAGCCTAAAGCTATTAACCTATCATTTATAACCCTCTTTTGCCATTGTCAATCAATATTCAAGCTTCCATCTTTATTATTTCTTCTTATTAAAATCAATTTACCAAAAATCAGATACTCTAGTTTAATCAAAGAAACAATCTTTTCTCTCTATTTTACTGTTAATTGCGTGAATAAGTTAGCGATAATCTCATGAAGTCCGAAAATTGAATAGAAAAAAAAATTGACTCGGTTTGGAAATGGTTTTTATTGCCCAAAATAATTATTTGGATAGATATCCCACGTTATGATGTGGCTTAGTTGAACAAGCTGGTTTTTGTAGAGATTGCACTTGATAGCCAGGCATGTAGACATAAAAGTTAGAAGCAAGGATGACAAAAAAGTATCTTGAACGTGGCTAATGCTAATGGATGGGTCAAGTTCGGATAATGTATGGAAAGAAAGTAACTTGAACGAGCCTGAACCTCAGTAATGCTAAAAAAAGTTGGCTAGTTTAGGGGTGCAACTTATTGACTTCATGGAAAAATATCTTGGCATGCCTCAATGGATTAGGAGTTCAAAACCCTAAGCTTTAGCCTTGCTTAAAGAAAGACTGAAAAGAAGATTAAAGGGTGGAAACAACAAGCTTTATCTTTAGCTAGTAATCTTATAAAAATTATTATTCCAATTTCCAAGCGATCCTACTGATTTTATGAGTTTGTTTAGATTCCTTGTTGTCTTTGTCATGACATCTAGAAATGACAGTGAGGTAGCGGTGGGGGTGTAAAGAAGTAACTCAAAGGAGGTTAGAGGGTTGCCATAGGGACCATGATTTTAAAGAGGCAAAACTTGCTAAGAAAAGGTGAAGAATTATCAAAAATCTTAATATTTTTTTTGTGGCAAAAACTCTTAAGGTTTGTTACTTTCCTATTACTAACTGACATGTGTGTTATAGATTGAGCTACAAATGGAGAAGCATATGAAGAACTGGGAAAATAGATAGTTGATTGAAGAGAGAGTAGCTGGACTTGGGACATAGCAATTCAATCAATATGTTGTGTGAACCTTAAACGAATACACTCCCATCATCCTTCTACCTTTTAAAGCTAAGCCAGCACTCTCTTTTTCCTTATGCTATAGCCGTAAGATAATATTTACGCTTGGTATTATACAAACTACAACGGATGTTCACTCTTGTATAAAGAAAGGTAACTAATTTTATTATTTCTTGTACAAGCTCTTGTAGCAGTCCATGTTCATCTAATAAGGTTGATTTCTAAAAGAATATTTGGGCCTTTGGGGTACAACCAAAGGCAAAGTCTTTTATTTGGGGATTATGTAGATGTGCTTTAGTGCCTTCAAAAAAAAAATTGTAGCAAGTATAACAGCTGAGTGGTAGTTATGAAGAAAATCATGTTCATGCCTTCTTAAGGTCATCTTTATCTGCAAGAATATGGGAGGCCGTTGAATTAAAAGACGTGGTAGATTGTCCTGTTTACTTAATAGCTGATATGTTTTCTTGGCTACTTGAGGTTTGCAAGCATAAGAAGGTGGCAATGGAGGCCTGATTAGATTCATTTGGAAGGAAAAATTGAGGATGGGAGGCATTGCAAGAGCCAGAGTTGAGGAGGCTGCTGCTGCTGCTGCTGTTATGGGGTTTTGGAACTTTGGAGCATTTTGGGATGCTAAAATGGGGGGTTTTCCTCTTCTCACTTTGTCAGTTTGCTGATGCCTAACAGTGAACGTCAATGCTGCAATTTTTGCAGAGTCAAGTGTGGGTCTGGAGAAAGTTATAACTTATATGTGACTTTGACTGTAGTGACATAATTGTTGTTTGCTCTTAGGCCCCGTTTGATTTGACGTAAGATGTTTTCATCGAAAAAATGACTTTCCCAATTTTTTCCATTTTCCTTTGTTTGGTTTGTAAAAGGGTGGAAAACAATTTTCTCAATGATATAAAACATGTTCCTATACAAAACAAGAAAGTGACATTTTCCTTCCTCTTTCTTACATCCTTTTTACTATCATATCCTATCATCCACCCTCACATTTCACTTATAGCCCTCTACATATAAGAAGAAAAAATGGAAATAATTGACAATAAATAAACATTTATTACACCGATTTACTCGTGAATTGTCGATAAATTCCAAACTTAATACTAAAAAAAGAAAGTATATTAAATGCTTATAAGGGCTGCATATAGCATTAACCTATTTTTAATTCCTCTATAATTTTTATTTTTTTTATTTTTTTTTATTTTTGTATGGAAGCAAACAAAAGAAAAGTAAATTACATTTGTGGCTTTCCTTGAAAATATGCTTTCTATAAAAAAACTATTTTTTCATTGAAAATATTTTACATCAGACCAAACGGCGCCTTGGTTAGAGTACTCGTGCCCACTTAAAATTGCAGGGGTAAAGGCCAGTCATGATCTTTGTTCCACAATATAGGGGAAAGGGGTTTTCATTGATAAATTTCACTTAAAAAATATTTCCTTAATGCATTAAAAAATTTAATTTAATATCTCTATGTTAATCTATAAAGAAAAGGAGTGAAAATGGTTTAGAACTTTCAATTGACAATACTTTTTTCTTAATTTCTTTCCTTTACATAATCTTCTACTTTGTGGGCATAGATAATAAATAGAGAAAATAAATTTCAACATTATAATTATCTATAGCTAAGAATCATGTCTAGGCCCTAAAAGTTTAGTAAAAATGATGTTAATTCAAAAATATAAATAAGCTAAGTTAGTAAAAATAATTTAACTCAATGTAAGGATGGTCTTATTTGGGCTAAAAAAAATCAGTGTAAATTAGGTGAATACAATATGGCTCTATAGTAAGGATATCTTATTTGGGCTTGATTTACGGCAACATCAAATATAAAGATTTAGGGCTTGTTTGACATCATTTTTGGTTTCCCGTTTCCTATTTTTTTAAAAACCAAACATGAAAAAGGTGTTTCTAGTTTTTTGTTGTCAGTTTTCAAAATTATCATGATTTTAATAAGTTTAAATAATTTTTGATTCATTATGGGGCATATATCATATACTTTTAAAAAAATAAAAAACCACAACAATGCCAAACGAACCTTCAGATATTATTAGCAAATAAAAGAGTTTTTTAAATTTCATTTTTGTATGGAATAAATTGTAACAAAAAAATAATAATACAATTTTTGGGGGAAAAGACTGAACAATAGCACAAATTTGTAAATTGTAATGACCCATTGCATGCACTTTTAGCCTTGTTAATGCTAAAGCTACGGATGACTCCTGGTGTTATCTTACGGGGGTATTATTCGATTAGCTAAAACTCTAGAATCAGTTGTTTATTCACATGTTACTCTGTATTAGAGAAGCAAATAAGTTGGCTTATGTGTGCACCAAAAAAAATAAGTCGGCGTATGTTGTGAGTTTACGATATTAACCCATTGATTACTCAATTGGGAGAGTTCTGGACACGATTGTGGATGATGTTGGGTCTGATTTTTGCCTTAATTTCCCTAATAACTAATGCGTGTTGTCTTTTTCAACAACAAGAAAAAATTGATTATCTACAAATTAAAAATAGTCTACAATTGTGAATTGTCCAAATAAGTCAAATGGATAAAACACTTTAAGCATAATTCACCATTTGCAATTCACAAATCTGCCCTCAATTTCCAAAAACTGAAAACTAATTATGTTTTACTGCAATTGTCTTTTAACATAGTCAACTACCAATTCAATCATACTCAAGTTCTCAACATAAATCTTCAAAAAAAAAAAAAAAAAAAACAAAAAAAAAACACACAGTAATAATTAATTGATTAACTAATTGATTAATAAAACACTTATTTTGACAGCAAACCAAAAATCCAAACCATAATTTTATCAACAATTGGTAAAGCATGAAAAACAAACAAAGATAATCAACAAAAATCAAAGAATTGTCAAACTTTTAATCGATAATTTTTTAAAAAAAAATTTGGTAATTAATACCTGAAATTAGGCTTAGAAGAAGCGGGATTGAAGCATTGATGTCGACGAGTTAAATCGAGCAAACGAACATTGAATTGTTTAGAATTCACCCCGTTCAATCCATGGCTGAGAAAACACGTCGAAAGCTTAGACGCCATTGTTGAGAAGGTAAAGCCTCACATGCAATTAATAATAGAGAAGAAGAGTGTAGAGTGAGAAGTAGTGGAGTAAGATAAGAAAGAAAGCAACAGCTTCTCCGCCACAACGAATGATACTAGGGTAGTGTACTTTTATACTACCCCGTTTCAATTTATTTGCAACGACGTGACATTCATCAATATTGGCAAAAATTGGTTACGAGCAGTAAATTAAGTGAGAAAAATTAGGTTGTACGGAGTATTCTATAGAAAAATAGAAAGAAAAAGTACCAATATATTGTATGAGCATTCGTAAATAATTCGTATTATAATATTTGTTTTATGATAATTGTTGCAAATAAATTGAAAGATATACTTCGTACTATGAATTTATGACTATGAGGTGTTGGGGGTGTGTTACCACTAACAGTTGAATAACGTTTGGGATATTCAGCAGTCAGCACGTCGCTTTATGTTTGTGTTTGGGTCGATTATTCGTCTTTTTTATGTTGGTTATTACGTGGTTTGGTATGGGACCATTTAGGCATATTCACCTCCTTTTCTCTTTTGGGCTCGATTCAATTATCATTTTGCCATTTGTCATTTTGGAATTTATAGATCATTACAGGTCGATTTATGGTATATACTGTCTATTATTACATATTTTGGGTTCAGATGATGTCTCGGGTTATTGCATGAATGGTCAATATATAAATTGTTTATGTTGCTTGAACTTGACAGGCGGTAACGATGAGTCACGATCAAATATCTTTCTAGTTAAGAAAATAATGAAGCAGCAAGTCTTAATGTCTTACAAGTTACAACATATCTACAGAGTTATAGTTATTTTTAAGTGATTAAACTTAAGGTCGTAAGTTTAAACATTGAAATCTATGTTATTTAAATTCGAAAACAAAAAAGCTTGTCGAAATGAATTACATGTTTAAAAATGCTTTTTTTTAGTTATCGATTGTGTTTACATGGAAACGAGTTGCAAAATTCAGATACTGACTATAAATCTATAATAAGATATGAGTATCAAATATTATGCATAATTGCATATGTTGATGCTTGTAGCATGTACAATAAACAGCAGAGTTGGGTAATATTCAATTATCCATTATCTTATTACACAAAACAATGATTATGTTCATCAAACAGACAATTTGCTGTCAATATAACATCTTATTCTAAACAGAATGAACTTAATCAGCTTGGTAGTAATCCATTAATCTGAGACTGACAAACTGGTATGTAGGCTATCTGATTGAAGGCCATGATCAATGCAATACTGCTATTTTATTGCTGTGTTTTTTTCTACTCTTCGAGCTTGTCGTTCTACTAACTAACATCTGTTCTCACAAGCTTCTTCAAAGGCATTTGTGGTAACGGGGTTTGTGGTTTCGTCTGTATAAAGATCAAGGTACTCCTGATAGGTATACGAAACGAATCCCCAGACCGCCAACAGTATGGCAACTATCTTTATTCCGTCCAATGAATCATGGAAAAAGATTGCTGCTAGTATTGGAACTATTGGCAGTCCTACAGTTGCAACAACATTCGAAAAAAGGGATGATACTTTAACAATTACGCCTAGTGTGCCAATGGTATAAACCTGCCAACTTAATGCAGTCCAAATTAAAGTCATCATGTATGACAGTTTTCCGACCTTATACCGATCCATTTCTTCTTTCAGTGTCTTCACCTCACCACTAGCTACAAGTCCAACAACCGAAACACAACTTGCAACAAGTGAAAGTGAAATAATCATGTCTAAAGTAGCTTTGAAACTTCCGTTCTTTAGTATCCTTTGGAAGGTGAACTCTGTTACTGAAAGTGACAATCCGTATCCTGCTGCATTACCAATAGCACACAGGATACCAATGGTGTAATTTTCCTTTGATTCTCCTTCAGGAACGGAAGAATCAGTTTGGAAGACGAGTAAGGCTGATGAGATGGTGAGCAGAACAAGAGAGTTTGTTATGAAAGGTGTGAACTTCTGTGAATTTAAAAAGAAGGAAAAGACGGCGTTGAAAGCCAGTTGAGATGCACATATGAGAGAAAATGTGGAGACTGGCATGTATTCAAGTCCTATTGAGTACATCATACTTGCTCCTGCTCCGATCAACCCAAGAAATATGTAGATTGATGCAACTTTGGAGCATGGAAACAGATTTTTTGGTGTGTTTTCTTGGGAAACTTCCTTTGGGATGATACAGTACAGTGGAAGTAGAACCGGAAACCCTACAAATTGCACTAGCGTTACCATCCATTTGCTTTTCCCGCCATTGTTGTAATATAATCTTCCAAGGAGTACAGCTGTGGACTGACCGAGAAGGATAAGAAGTATGCAAATGGAAATTTTGATCCACCAATTTAAGCCTTGTTTCTGTAATTCATCTGATGGACTGGGTACAGCCTCTGATTGAGACGAAGTACCTGGTAAGCTGTTGCTCACTATACAAAGGGACATTACACAGAGATAACGCAGGATATGTCAGAGAGAACCTACACAAGACTCATAAAAAATTGTTAAGGAAAATGAGAATGATTGTTCATAAGTTGGTGGACTGATGATCCCTTCCAGAAATTTTATCTGATGATTATCTTGACGTGTTTCAATTGTAAGTTATATTTGATTCAGGAAGTTACTCAATTCTTAATTCTGTTGTTCTCGTGATCATCTTTTCAGGTCATTGTGAGGAAACATAAGTTGGTTGGGGTTATTTGTTATTGTAGCTAGATGAACTGAACAACAGATTTTTTTTATAACCGACATGGTATACGTAACAAACCATTATTTATTAGTGATTCTACAATTTTTATTTGGTCTGAAAATTTGTTTCCAGTATCTATATGCACAGCACTAATGCTATGACCGATTTCTATGTTTGAGCTAAGCTACTTATCCCCCCACCTCCGGGAAATCCTGCTGGCGACAGAGAAGGTAAGTAAAAGGCTTACATTACATTGCATAATTGATATATAGATACAATAATTGATTTTCAGAGCTCATACCATTTGTTGAATGCATGCTTTAATAATGAAGATTATAATTTGTGCAATAACATTTAGGTTAAATTGGAGTAATTAACTGAGAAAAATTGTCAATACCTGTGATGTGGAGTTCCTGGTCTTCAGAACTCCCCATGTCAGAATGAAAATTCTCTCTTGATTGTCTGAGCTTTTGTTGTGGCAACTGATTTAGTGGAGAACAAAATACTTTTCACGTGTTTTTTTACAGTTAGAACTAGAAAGCTAGTGGAACGACTCTTTGATGAACTTTATTTGGCGTCTTTGGCTTTCTATGTTTCATCTGATATATAGGGTGCAGGGTTTTCTGCATTCCTTCACGCTATCATGCTCTAAGTGTTTCGTTAATGAGAAAGTAGTTAGTTCGGAAATCTTTTGTTAGCTAATACCATTTTGACAAAATGTTACTCGTATCAGATACTTACAATAGGCATGACTTACCAGATACACTAACAAGCATGTGACTAAGCTTGTGTTTTAAGGAAGCTACCCTTTAGCTATAGCCCTTACATGCAGTCCCGCACAGTATACGTATATTTACAGCGACTGGATAAAAAATGGAAATTAATGATCTATTTTTAGGGTGTAATAGGAGGTTTTATGTCTATGTCGAGAGTAAAACCTGCAGCTGAAGTTATCGTACAGTTTTGCTGTTAACATTTTACAGGCAACATTTACCTTTGCTGAGCAGTTGAGAAAAGAAGTCTTGCTAGTTTTTCCGACAGCAGAAACAGGCTCGAATTTTCTTACAGCAGTTCATTTGCGAAAATTAGGGTCAGTGCTCTAGCAAGATATCCAGGAGATTTGAACTTATTTAGCTTATGTATATGTTGTAATGTTTGATTTTGATGAAGCCAACTTTTGGTATTTAAAACCAACGTGAATATGACATGCATTGAAAGATGTCTGTTGGACAAAATGTCAGACAGATCAGACTACAGGAAACCATATTGTACTTGCATCTCGTTTCATGGTGTCTAGGATTGGAAATTAAGGATGTCGAAGATGAGAAACTTCAAGTTTATTACTGCAGTATTGAAGGATCATTGCTCCCAAAACAATGCAGCCGAGTTATTGACCCCAAGAGAAAGTTTGGCAATGACAGCATTACTCAGAATTTTACATCTCATCTGGAGCTGAAAATTCTAGAATGGGCAGGAGAAATGCCAAACTAAAAGTTTTGCGATCACAATAGATGTGTGCAAGCTTCTATAGATAAGTTAAATGGTGATCACCGATCACACAAGGGAGGCCAACATGTTGGCAATAACTTGCCCATTTTGCTACATACATGAAAGATGACGTGAAGATTCACTGTGTTAATCCTAGACTAAGTTGCTTGTTAGTGTTCTTGGATAGGTGTGCGGTCTTTCCTCTAAAGATGGCTGGTAATCTAGTAATGCAATTGTGCACGCTCACTGTACACTTAAAGTCTTGAACTCATTTTACTCCCGTTTAAGTAATATGAAGTAAGTATCCTTCTGTTCAAACTAAAAATAAAAACCCAGTCCATGTGTATCAGAAAGTGGTATATAAAAAGATTATAGATTCTTGGAAATACAACAAAATTTTCATTACAATTTAATAACAAATTTTACTTTTATCACTCACCCGAGAACTATCTGGAGAAACCTATATTTGCTATGGCTCACACAACAGGAGCGAAAATGGTATATGGGTAAGAGATCAAAAGGGTAAAAAATGAAAAGGGAAGAAAAGGATGCTATATTAATAATGCACAATGTCACTTGGACGTGAGGCTAACTACATACCCTCTTAAAAATTATCTTCATAATCTCCTTTCCGATGCCTTACAGTATCAATCAGTGCGATAACCAGCTTTATCAACGAGAATATCAGGAGACCACATTCCAAAGTCCCCTTATTCTGATCGATCCAGGCTATCTTTCCTTTTCCATCATGTGGTTGTAATGGTAAGCTGATATCTTCTTTCCGTAATTAAGGCCTACAAAAAAGTTATATGTACTGCTGAATAACCTCTCAATGTTCAAATAGACTCCACTTTATCTTTACCCCTCCTTTCCACTTCCATAATTTCTTCATTGACAGAAATAAGGTAAATTTTAAACATTAAGGAGTAACCTCTTACCGGTTAACTGGGAATCAGGAGCAGGACAACAGCGAAAAAATACAGAATGACAGAAATTGCAACACCAGCGATGAAATTATGCAACAACCGTCGGTTTTCCTTTGTTGGTATGAATACAGTCTTGAGCACATTAGTCAGCTCAAAAATCCGGTGGGAAACCTGAGAAGCAAGAAAGTTAAATTAATATAGCAGCAGCAACTGTAGTAGGTAGATTACTCAAAGATTCTATTACCAAAACATAGATAGCAGTTGTAAGCATAAAGTTCAGCATAGGATATTCTGGAATAAGAGAGAGAAGCCACTTAGGTTGTCCATTGGGCGTGTTTGATCTGCACATCAAATTATAGGCAGTAAGAAAGACTGTTATATTCATACACCACATGTAATATCAGTGCCGAATTTCAAGCCCCCGTCAGTGGGGATGTATTAAAACCCAAATGTCAGACAACCAATGTCAAGAACATATACCTTAACCAAATATGAAATTGAGATATGTAAGTCTCCAGAGTAATCTTTCCGAGCCATCTAATAACAAAGAGAAAATATCTTAGAAAAAGCACCTCAGTTTTCAAGAATATAATAAGAGACTAAGAGTAAACTTTCAAATATCGATACAATCTCCCAGACCTAAGTGGACAATGAACTAAAAGAACATGTGGTTTGGCATAGTCCAACCAAACAGGATAGATAGATTGATAATAACAATCCAAAATAGAGACCTAGGAAACTAAATCGGACTTTTGCGACCCAAATAGATTAAACTGTTACAGATCAACATACAAAACTACAAAACAGTACATATCAGAAACGGATGAAAAAAATGGATAAAAAATCTTACGCAAAGAGAGTCATAGAAAAACTACGCAGCTGATGGGTGACATTGCGCAAGACTATATATACACTGCAATCAAAAGGAGTATGGACAATTATTAGATGTCACCGAACAAACAAAATTGTTGTTACTCAACATTCATAGCAGACAACAGTAAGAATTTGCAAATGAGAAAGATGGTACACGTACGTTATTGGAATCCATGATGTGTATGGGTGCAATTTATTGTATGAGATTTTGTCCAACTTATATATGTATTCATACCACAAGTAACCAACCTGCAAAATAAAGATAGATTTTATAGTAGCACATATGTAAAGTGTACTTCAAAGTAGCCACAATATAATCCAACTCACAAATACTGCAACTGAAGCTACTCCAGTTTTGATAGCATGTCTCCTCTTTGGTTCAGACTCCTCCAACTTTTCCAAGTATTTTTCGACCTGTTAAGATGTATCACATATTTAAGCCAAGTCAAACATAAAAAATTTCACATAATTACAGAAAAACAAAAGGCACTCTAGAAAGTTACAGTTGGGTGGTAGTAGGCGTAGATCATTCCAATGATCCACACATAACGATCAAGCCCGGATCTGAAATGCCATTCATGTACTCGAGGAAGATCTGGTTTTGCAGGATCAGTGTACCCTATAATTCAAGAAGTCGTAGTCAGAAAAACTGAACCAATTCAAGATCGAGAATCCTCTTTGAAAAAAATGACATGAATTTGTATCATTCATGTGAATATAGATGACATAAGAACAAGAAGTAACTGACCTAAAAAGAACATGAAAGGACTCCAGATCAATTCGAAGACTCCAGGAACTTCCCAAACAAGTATGACCACCAGAAAGCAAGAAAGAATTTTCACCGCCATCACAGTTGGTATTTCGTTGTATTTATTGAATATACCAAGGGCTCCATACACCATAAGAGTGAAAAGCGTATGCATCGGACAAATGTAGTACAGCATATAATCATTATTCAAAACAATGCAGCAAAATGCAACAAAGAAATTTAGCCGCCACATCATCTGCATGGAGACAGTAGAGTTCAATATTAGGAAAGGGTCATAATAATAATAACAACAAGCTCACATTAAACCCAAGAAATCATAAATAGGAGTATTATATCACCTGAGCAAAGCGGGGCAGGCTAAAATCTTTTCGTATGTAGTAATATGAAAAATTGCCGAATCCGGTCATCCAAACATATGCAGCAATGAACACACGTATAGCATTGTAGATCTCCGTTGCAGCAAAATAGTGATACATCAGAAAAAGAACCTGTCATGTTCAAAGGTTTATAGCATTAGTTGGTAACTTAAAAATACTAATACCGATGACATAAGACGTCTGTGCAAGCATTGGCAGAACATTCATGTGTATACATCAGTAATTCAAGCCAAGGTATGCAATCTCATAAAAGGTAGGTATTCTATATTCACACGTACATAAAAAGGATTACGCAAAGAGACTAAATCAATTTGCTTGGTAGCTATTGAGCTCTAGCATTGAATATATTGTGACAATTCAATTACCTATAAATACACCAAAGGGGGGACGGAATGATAGAATTTCAGGTCAAGTCACACCAAGTGGTGTCTTACATACGTTAGCACAAAAAACATGGGTGAGGTCATAATCATCCCTACTAATCAGCTCTCAGCCATCAGCCAATTTGAATTTAAAAAATCACAACCAAATTGATTCGAACCCATTTCTGTCGATAATAGAATGCGATAACCATCGTCCATCACCAACTAATGAGGACCAACACACCCTTACCCTTGTGTGAAACCTGCTTTCTGACTGATCCCCAAAGAAAAGGTTCTTATTTGAACATATTGAACTTGCAAAAGTTATTTTCTCCATTTCCAATAATCCTCAAAAGACAATGAGAAGTTTCAAGAAATCCCAAAAACCCTAAATTGTGTCATAATATTCTTCGAAAGTGATATAACAAGCATTTGTAGGTGCAACAAAAAGAAAAATCCATCAGATTATCACTACAACCTATAACTGCAAGTTGAATTCAGTCAAGTAACTATCAATATTTGATACATAAGGGGCACTCGGTATTAATCCCTTTTACAAGAAGAAATTGAAAACATCATATCAAATAGAGCACTTGCCTGCATCCAACCCTTCCATTCCTCAGTCTGGTGTCGGTTCAGGTAAAGAATTGATTTCCCTGAAAATGCTGACTTATCTTGGTGTTTCTTGAGTGAAGTCATTGCTGAAACAATCACCAGGAGGAAGTAGAGAAATAGGAATAGATCACGATTGTAGTTCTGTCAATAGGAAAGTTAAAAGTCAAAATTCAGTTAAAATACAAGAAAAATCAGCAAGAGAAAGAAACGAGTTTGACATATAATCACCCATGCCTTAGAGTATAAAAAAGATAGTAATTGTGATTGAGTGAGATGTATCATTAAAATAGAGAATACAATCAGTCACCTATCTACAACATAAATCATCAACCATTTAGTCATTCTCAAAATAATCCAGTTCAAAGAATGGTGAAAACAACCATCCAGGCATCAAAAATCCAGATTTCAAAGAAAAAAAGGGAAGACAAAGACTACAAGAAGAAGGAGTCAGATTTCACTGGTTGACATCTTTCATACTGTTTCAGTTCTGTGCGATGTATATGTTGCATGTTGATAGACCAAACTTCCACCAATGAGTTTTTACCAGGATAAGAGGAAAGACATTGTCTCTAGATTTAGGATTGGGAGAGAGGGGGAGGAGGGGCAACAACATATCTTGGTGCATTACTTCGCAAAAACATTACAGTGAAACAAAGTCAACCAGAAATGTAGCAAGAATGGATTAGGGAACTTTAATACAGCTTCAAGGACAACAATTTAAACATAGCAAGTATGCATTCCCTACTACCTATCATTCTTAGCAACCTCAGTGTTACCATTTTTCCTCCAGTGAGAAATTCTAAAATGGCATTGTAGACATTGAAATATTGAATGTTTCGGTTTTTCCTCACAAATCATAACAATAACACATCAGGTTCTCTAAAGCCTACCCTATAAACACATCAAAATCTATTACAATGCAAATAACCACAAGCTTAACTGGCATGGCATTTCATATGCATCCTGAGAGATTGACGATTCAGATATTACACTAAAACTGTTATAATTCAACTTTGCCACTCTGACAAGGCTACATTTAAAGGATGTGGAAATGACAAAAACATTGGAATGACATCATAATCCATGCAGAATGTACACACCTTGGTTGAATATCCCAGCACATTTGTCCGGTCACAGATATAAAAGTACACCAAAATTAACCCCAGCTCGCCACTATAAATAAATAGACATCATAAGTCATAAGCAATAGTATATTGGAGAGAGAAAAGGGAAAGAGTAAAAAAAATCAAGAGTCAGATATAAAATTGCTTACATGGCTCTTAAGGTAATGCGGTTTTCAAGCAAAAAAGACTCATCCATTGTCACAAACCTGAAGTATATCAAGGAAATTCAATTAACATTAAAGGGCAACAAATTGAACCTAAGCAGAAGAAAACAGAGCATTAAGAAAGCTACCTTATTAAGTTTGACTTGATATTATATGCAGGAAACTTTTGTAAGGTTGCTTTAGAAACTCCGCCTTCCAGGAGCACTGCTCGATCATCTTCCTTTGCAGCCTCATTTCCCAACTCAACAAGATTATTGTCTGAATGGCTGCAACGGTAAAGTCACAAATTCAAAAGAAGAGTTCACAAAGACATCGTTAATTAGCAAAAGACAAATAAGTACAGATAATTAACATGTTCAAAACAAAATATACACGCACTACATATAATACTTTCAAAGTCTGAAAGATGGAACTAGACACTCATCTTTATCATAACTTGAAAGTATTAAAGATCATCAATTTGCACTGCTGTAATTTCATATGTCATACACTTAATGACTCAAAGAACAAACAAATGAAGCACTATATTCAGCACAATGATCTACTACAGAAATTCCAATCACCACACATGGATGTAAGGCATGACACAGAACATTGAGAGGCAATAACACACATATGATCAGAAAATAAATAAAAAAAAAAATAAAAACAAAAAAAACAACAAAAAAAAAAAAAAACTGATGTACGTACAGCAATACCACAGCTAATTGAGAAGAAGTTACGGATAAAGGTCCCCTTCAAGTCAACAATATGAGATGGAAGATGCAATAAAAGGTTTGTAATAAAGCGTATAAATGCCATCACTTCGAAATATGTAAACACTTAGCACTCACCAAGAGAGCAAGCTTTTTTTCCTCCCCCCAAAAACAAATGTTGCTATGTCCGGCGGTTGCGACACATTATCCATTAATATTCCTTAAGTTGTTTCTGAATAAACCTTAGTACAACTTAATTGAAACCTTCACAAACATGCCTGTGCAACTCCATTACCTACCCCAAAAAATATATCCAACTACTGCAAGAGAAGCAAAGTAAAGTGCAGCTAAAATGTGAAAGTCTCAGGCAATAAAACATAATCAATGTCTTGCATTTTCATCATCTTATTCATCTATATGCCTCAAATGTTCACAATATTTCAGTAAATCTGCAAGTGAATCTTGGTTGCAATTTGCATGTGCAGTGTCCTGTACCTTATTGTCCTTGAAACCCAACGCAAAAATGTAACTTATTTCCTCTATTCTTTTATATTACTATGTTTAATCATAAAGAGAGCCACACATATTAAGGAACCTATGTGATGAGAAGAGATAAAGAGAGATAAAAAAAAAAGGGACTAGTGTGATGGAGAGAACCCAAAGCCAAAACAAATAATGTTGCGATTATATTAAAACTTCTTATACAGGGGAATGCTCCAATCCACTTCTTATGGACAATGGACCACAGTCTCCAAAGTATATATCCTTAGATGATGACCAATAAGTATCCATCTCAAGTAAATATCTGGAAGTCTAGGCTGCTTAAAACTTTCAATGAGCCTGAAAACACAAGATTTCATCTTTTGTATGTCATTCAACTGGTTCCAAATTCAACTACTCAGATATGTCATTTAGCATATGAGGTAAAACTAATAAGCAGCAAGTGACAATACAAAAAGCAGCCCCTTGACTATTGCAGGGATTTTAAAATAAAATTAAACATGTATAAACAGCACTATAATAGCTAAAGAAAAAAATATATCATACATAATGAAATTTTCCATGAATCATACAAGTCTTGTGCAGATACATCACATCTGGCTGATTTAGATTTAAAATCACTGAACACAATTTGAGCTTCAACTCCTTAACAAAACTCAAAGAAGAACTACTCACACTTTAGAATGAGCTGAAGACCTCTTGTACTCCAAAATCTCAGAGTAGACCCAAGCAACCAAAGTTGGAATAAAACCAAGCAGAAAAGACACCTACAGTAACGAAAACAGGGTTAATCTGACAAGCAATAAGAAACTCATGCTCAATGAGAAGAACCCAGTCCCTCAGTATAGTTTCCATTATTATATTTCAAAGATATACTTGAATTTTCTAAGTATTATATGCAAGATAATAACTACATTTGTGTTAAAGGAGCTTTTGTGAACTGCCTAAGTCATGAATTTGCATAACAGAAACCAATTATTAGTACAGATCTACACCAGATTAATGCACTAGCAGCAAAAGCTTCTTCTTAGTTCTCCCTCTGTTGCTCTCTTTCTACACTAAGACCTCATCTCTTAATCCGTCTAGGACATTTTTATTGAATATTAACCTCATCATAACTATGTCCTTCACTCACACACAGTATCAGTATGTCATGTCTATAGCTTGAAGTATCCAATACATTTACATGCTTAGCGATCTAAATCGCAATCCCATACATGCATTGACTTTCTAAATCTGAAGTGCATGTTGTATACAAGTACCTTCATCAAACATTATACTTTACAAGTAAAAAGTTCAATAATTCTAAACCAACTATAGCATTGGATTCGACCAATATAAGTCGATCAAACGAGTATTCGAGTTCAAGTAACATTCCCAATATTTCAGATTTAGCATTAAAGTGACATTGACTAATTGATGAACAAGGGCCATATTTGAGTACAGCTAAACCCAATCCCCCTCCAAAATCACAACCCATTTCCCACCAACATACATTTCCCTCCACAAATCAACTCATCATAATATCGAAAAACCCGAAAAATGCATCAATCACCAAGGTTTATTTCAAAGTCAAATCGAATCGAACCCATATTACTGTTGTTACAAGAATCCAGCAACTTTTTGAACATACCTGTCCGGGCGTAATCGGCCCAGAGTCCACCATTGCGATTCTCCCCAGTGATCAACTCAATCTCACACTGCTAACAAAAACAAACCAACCCATCAAAAATCAATGCAAATGCAATCAAAACTTCATAATTAAACCAGATCAAAGCTCAAAAAAAGTACCCAGATTTGCTAGAACCCGCGAAAACCGAGAAGTAGATCAATGAATGAGAGAGAAAGAGAGAGAAAGCACCGTATTTAATACGGAATAAAACCCTAAAAAAACCAAAATCGATTAAAATAAAAACCCAATTTAGGTAAGTAAGATCTGGGGAGTAATGAAGTCGCCTGTTGCTTAAAGAATAGATGAAATGTCGGAAGAAACGTCAAAATCAAAATTGGGTCTTAGATTTTGATATTGGTAGGTTCCTTGTCTAATACTCCGCCATTGATGACGTCGTAAATGGAGCTTGAATTGGTTTGATTTGGTGAGGTTGAGAGAAAATTGGTTGGTGATTTCGATGTCGGTTCGTTGCTGCAAAATCACTGTAATGGAGATTGAAAGGGAGGAGAGAGAAAGTGAGGAAGGAAAGTGGTTGGGTTTTAATATTATTATTTTTTATACTATTATTTTTAGTTTATTACAGCGTTTGATTATGGGATGACTAATTTATTATTACAGGATTTTAAAATTAAGAGGGATTGATTAACTAAATTTCAAATATTGTTTAAAAAATGATGAATCGAGGAATTATAGGGATCAACTAACATGCGTACATGACTATCACACTATCATTGTACGGCTTTTCCATAATAGTGTATTGATGAATTGAAGGAAAAATTGACGAAGGTCTCGAGAGCATTTTGTCATAAGATAACTAAGAAATTAAAATTAAATCAAAATTAAAATATATACTAATTACATAATTGGCGTGTGTTTTTCTCATGAATTTTCAAATTATTACAGAGTATTAGTTTAGGAAATATTATAACTTGTTATCTAAAGTTTTGGAGGCATTTGTTCATAAGGATCTAATTAAATATATATATATATCAATGATGTTTATTTTTCTCAGGGATGACCACATCTACAAGTTTAGTATTTTTTTTTATATGTAAAAGAAGTTATTTCTTTCATTTTATTTTATGGTGGTGTTTAAGGATTTTTTTTTTTTTTTGGAAAAAAAATGTTCAATATAATTATCATTGTTTGACTGTTTGTAATGATAAATTATTTTAGAACTCTTACATTTCAATTGGAAATTATTGATTGGGACCAGTGGCGGATCCAAGATTTTCGAATTGGTGAGTCTCCATCAATAATTGATCACTTGTTTCAATCCAAAAATTATATATATATAAAAAATATATTTCACCAAAATGATTTCAATTCAAAAATAGGACATAAAAATCCATACTACTATAATACTTAAAAATTCAATCTTACAAGTCCAAAGTACGTACTCCAAATAAATAACATGTTACAAACAAATGGTACTATAAAATTATTACATCAAATTAACTTTATGATTTTCCACTTAGGGTTCATTTGGCATCGCTGTGGTTTTTTGTTTTTTGGTTTTTTGTTTTTTAAAAGTGTATTATATATGTCACATAATGAATCAAAAAATATATAGACTTATTAAAATCATGATAATTTGAAAACTGACAACAGAAAAGTGGAAACACTTTTTTCTTGTTTCCTGTGTTTTGGTTTTTGGTTTTAAAAAAAAAAAAAACTAAAAACCAAAAATGATGCCAATTAATAATCTTTGTGGGAAAATATTAAAATTGGTTGCATAAATATAATATAGTATAAATAGAAACAAGAATTATTAAAAAATTATACAGAGTACAAAAAAAAAGGGAATAACTTTAATGAAAAAAGAAAGCAGCCAACAAATATTCAAATTCTATGTCAGCTAAAAAGAGACCGGTTATCTAAATAACAGGTCTCTTTGATATTTAAATATATATGACAAAGTGCTAACTCAGGTGGCAGCAATAGCAGCAGCAAAGAGACCGCCTATCTATAATGTTTTTTTTTTCCATGCACATGAATAGATCCGCCCCTGATTGGGACTTATATATATATTTTTTGCCTTTACACCACTACCACAACAAACACCACCACTACCAATCACCATGACAAACCTTGAACTCACGATGGAAGCATGTGCGCCTACGTTAAGCATGTGTGAATATGTTTGGCACTCATAGAAAATGGGAATTGACATTATACGATTAGGGACAAGGAAAGTAGGGAGTTGCCATCAAGTTTTTAAGGATCTTGTAAACCGTTCACGGATCATAAAAGGCAAGCATGATAAAGGGACAACGACAGGCAACAACGATTAACCCGTAAATGTTACACCCCATTCATAATCCATGATATTATTAACTCCATATGGTTTGGAACCACGAAAGGAGGATCGGGGATGATGGAACGAAGTGAGTCATGGAGTCACATTCGCCCGTATTGGCCTCTACTCGACGATTCTTATAGTGAAAAGTGATTCTCTACGATCTCAAAGGCATACAAACAAATATTCAATTTGCTCCGAACTATTATTAGGCTAAATTGGTTGAATATTAATGCAATATATAATTTTAAAATATTTGTGACTTAATTAAACAAGAAGATTAAAAAGGATCCTAAACCGGTTGTCCAAATTATCTTATTAGGCGTGATTTTCAATTACGTATTCTTTTTAAACATGAAATATGGTGATCATAATAACAATAGAATAAACATTAATATTGAAAGCAATTTAACCATAATATTGTTAGTCAAATCAAATATAAATAAACCTAATCATGATACTATCAATATTAAAATAAAATAAGTAATTAAAATAATTAACTACTCACATTTTGCGCGCTCCTTTAACATGTTACATCATGAATAAATTGTTAGTAACTTCAATAAAAATATAAATCAAATTGAAACAATGAAATTAAAAAGTAGAGTTGATTTGTTCCAAACCCTCAATTAATTCTACTTTCGCAAACTATTTGGTGCAAGCACCCGCACCCAACAGTTTGTGCGTCTGTGTAAATTTCGGCCCATTTTAATACGCTCCTTTAGAAAGGCCCATATCAACTTCCAGTCCATTTATTTCCTTCCCTATGTTCCGCCATTTTCTACTCCATTTTCTTATTCCAAAAAAACCGCCATTTCTACTTCTGCAATTTCAACTTTCAAGTTTTGCAATTTCAACTTCTTTTCTTCACTTTTTCAATTTCTACAGTTTTATGTTGTTTATTTATGAAAGATTCTCAATTTGATTCTTTTTAAAGCCTAATGTAAACATTATTTTTTGCAAATCTCATCCTAACACTTATCCCATATTTGTTTATTTTGAGTTTAATTAAATTTAAGCTTATTTTTAGTCAAATTTGACTTTATTTTTCATTTTTTTTCTTTGTTAGGGGAGAAAGTCAGATACCCTCCATTAATAATAAAAATGACGAAAACGTTTTGCACAAAACTTAGTCACATTTCTTCACATACTCATATGCACACAAAATGATAAATAAAAATGCAAAGATAAAGTAAACATAGTAATCATAAGACTTATACAAAGTGTCCAACACGAGTGTTAAGTCAAAATAAGAAAAGTCCTACAAAGTCATAATAAAAATATATACAGGTACAGCTATGATGGCGGAGTACGCAAATGTGGAGGAACGTCAAACATGTCAAAGAACTGTACAGTCCGAAGAGTCAAACCCTCGTCAGCCGCCTAATCACTAGTGGTCGGGATCGAGAGGGTAGGGCCAGTCCATCCCGCCTTACCCTGTGGCTACACTCCCAACTAATGAGGCTGTTGTGGTTGCTGCGACGATGAGCCAACCTCATACGTCCCACCACCCACTAAAGGAGATGATGTCTCGCCTCCTTGACCAGTCGACCTCTTCGAAGCACCCTAAGACGAAGAGCCCGCGCGAATGCTCCAATGCTACGGTGTGGTCTGACTCCGATCGACCACCCTGGCTCCTTGCCGAAGTACATCGGTGCCTCGAGCCTCCGGACCTCTTTCTTCGAGCCTCTGGCCTTGAACGAATACGCGGCGGAGGAACAGGCTGAAATAGAAAAAACGAGTCAACTCAAGCATGGCAAAATAAGCAAGTAAGCAATAAGGTCAAAAGAAATACCTACGTGCCATCGTCTCCACGACACCTAGCTCGGTGACTCAATCTCATGAGCTGATAATGAAAGGCGTCCATAGCTCTCGTCATCACCTCATGGGAAACCCTGTCAAGCAATGAAGTCAGAAATAATAAAAAAAAAATATATGCAAACACAAAATAATAATGAAACACTTACCGAGGTCTGGCGGCGAGGTATCGACTGCTCTATCAAGCGTCAGGGATTAGGGGACAGAGGAATCATCTCCTCGAACGGGCCGAAAGACCCCTAATAGGTGATGGACACCTTTGGAGGTACAAACTCCTTAGCCGCTGCCGCAGCCTATCAAAACAAAATCTAGGCAATTAAAATTTACTATGGAGCTATCTAGAGAATAAATCAAAGGCACGAAATGTACCTGCGCCTCCTCCGATATACAAGGAGGTGGAGCCAAATACGGCATGTGATTCTCGCCACAATTCCGGCTCGAATGAATATGATGCTGCCAATTTGTACTAGCGAGCGACTCGCCAAAATGGACTCTCATAGCCGTCTGGTCAAACATGTGCTGAGGAGGACGAGCAGGAACCACAAAAGATTTGGTGGAGTGCTGAATCACAACTCTCTCGCCACGATATACCACAACGTCGTACGTCCCCTGAAAATAGCGACACTGAGTTGTATACTGGACAACTCGTCCAGGAAGGTCGAAATCGGCCCATAGCCAAAATCGGACCTCAGGCACTTACAAATTGAACACCCATGAGATAGATTCCTACTAAGTAGCAAAAGACAGAAATGATAAGAAAAGAATATCGAGAGGATCAACTCTTGAACGCGGGCAGTAGCAGCAACGGGGAGTTCGCGAGGTGAAGGCCTTGCTGGCGAAAAAGACCGGAAGTACTCGTAGAAGCTAGAGCAAGTTACTAACACATGTCTAAAATAAGCTTAGTTAGAGGAAAAAAAGTATACCTCTACGACCCTCCAGAAGCTAGATTGAGTGGCCTCCTCCTCAAACTTGCGATGGCGACAAGCGAGTCGCAATCCAAACAGGAAGTCAGCATAGGCCAAGCTGGCCCAATCATATGACCCGACCATATAAAGGTCGCGAAGAGCAGGTAAGTAGTAGAGTAGCACTTGGCTACCCTTGTCAGGAGTGAAAGTCCCCGACAAAAGAATCAGAACAAAGATGCGCACCCGCTGCTCTGGGGTGGTCCCACTATCTCGAAAGGCCTCCATGAGCATAGACCGCCTAATACATCGGCTACTAATCTACATTGGCCGAGCCTCGCTGCGAGCTCGAATAGCGATAGGACCGAGTAGTTCCTCTACCTCGGGAGAAAAAACGGTGATATCGCTGCCGAAAGGAACCGCAGTAGTCCGGAACTCGAGTCTGCTGATGAGACTGAAGTCGACAAAAGTGATGGTCATCTCACCCTAAGGAAAATGAAAAGTGTTGTTGGTGTACCAAAAGAACTCCACCAAAGCTCGAATTAGAAAACGACTCGAG